GAAATAAATCAATCCAAAGTATTTAGGAATCTTTTTTGAATATTGAATGAATGATAGAACATTGTCACACTGTATAATGTGTAGTTCCAGAAATCTTCCATACCCACCCCACAGAGGAATTTGGAATTTCCGAAGAGTAGGGAGGTCAAAGAAAGAACGAATATTACAGAAGTGTATGGAAGAAAATTGGAATTTCTGGGGGAAGGGGGGTGTCTGAAAAAAATTCCTCCGTGAGGGGGGTATGGATAATTTTTGGAACTATGCAATTTACCTGACAATTAGAACAGTTAATTCATGAATATTCTTTTAATAAATTACTCATAAGTGGATTAAGACCTCATTGATAGCAAATATATGACTAAAGGTTCGTTAATCATAGATATAACATTAATGCCATGACATTGAAATGGTTTTCCAGTAATTTGTGTGACTTTCCATGAATTAGACAATCTTATTTATTTATGTCTTATTCTCTACTTTCACATCCCCATGATACTTTGCGTCTTTGGGGGGTAACCAGAGGGTAAAAACCCACTTATTTTGCTGAAGGCTGATCAGACAATGTTGACAATACCTCGTTTGGTATCCAAAGATAAAATGAAGAAGTAAAAAACAGAATAAGATAGAAGCTTGAAGACGTTTAAGGTAAATTCAATACATTTTCTGTAAGACCAAAACTCTTGATGATCTGTACACGCAAAAATAACTTGGAATAAACTGATAATCAGTATTGTACAGATAAAAGCAGGTATAGTATAAATTCAATTAAGAAACCTTTCAATTTGGGACAATCTTTTGATTGGTTACCCTCAAAGACGCAAGGCATTATGGGGATGTGAAAGTAGAGAATGAGTGAAAAATTTGACTATTGATATCCAATATTGCTGGTTTTCAATCACTCCCAAGGGAGTGAAATAACAAAATACACTGCAGCCATGTTGGTTAATGTTCAAAACTCAAAAAATTCAATCAAGATGGCAACTAGGAGATCATGTGCAAACGAAGAATTTAAATGTTAATTTTTACACAGGGAGGAAAACCCGAGAGCCAGTCAAAAAAACGCTTGTGGCAAGGAAGAGAGAATGAACTCACATATTCATATATGTACATACATACATGTATATTTCTATGAATAAGAAACAATGAATATTTTAAGCTAAAGACCTATATGTTATCTATTAAGTATCCACTTAATATTTATATTTATATTTATATTTATATTTATATTTATATTTATATTATCAATTGTTAAGCGCAATTGGTCATTCTTTTGGAAATGGCGCTATATTAAGCATTAAAGTATTCAACCCAAAACGTCCCCCCCCCCAGTGTTGAGAGACAGCGGCTTTGCAGCAAATGCCACCTACAATTAACATAGTTTTTGTTATTATTATTATACGCAGCTAATAATTTGTCTGTACCGACAAAAAATGGTTCAACTGGGAGCTCTAGCTCACTGACATCAGAGACACTCAGGACAGCTTTACCAAAACACTCACCTTCTCCCAAGAGAAGCCCTAGTATGTATATATCACTTATAACATCATGGATAATGTTCATGATATGTTCACCTTTGTTCATTGTAATTACCATRATTTAYATTAATTTTACTTTARCTATACATAGGCCGCCCAAAATTATAAGCCTTCGGTTTCTATTTTGAGCTGCCTTCTACCATCCTTGAGAAAAATATTTTATACTAAATTCATATCTATTGTATTATAAGTGTAAATATTGTAATTATCTTTTATATTCCTGGAATAATATAGGATGGAATAATGATTAAATGATTGATTGAKTGATTGAAAAAATAAATTCATTAGGGTAAGACCCAAAGAAACTGCACAAATATGGGGTCACTTGCCTCTGGCTCGTGATTATATAGTCAATACAATACAGCTGCTCATGTTGTAAACATTACGTGTTTGAGATATAACACATGCACTGATCATCATATCATGAATAATTCATTAGGGTATGACCCAAAAAAACTGCACAAATATGGGGTCACTTGCCTCTTGCTCATGATTGTATAGTCAATACAACACAGCTGCTCATGTTGTAAACATTACATGTTTGAGATATTATAACGCATGCACAGATTGGCTGGCTTCTAGCCCAGGTCACTCACTTTCTTCCAAGAGAAGCCCTGGTATTGTCCCCTGGCTCAACAGCCTATCTATCTTTGAAAGTCCAGCAATGCTWATGGAATATAATATATTCAACAGGTCGCTGGTTTAAAAGAAAAGATGGAACAAAAAGTGACAGCGAAGTAAGAAAATAAATAATTTCATTTACAGTGGTAATYGAAAAAACCWTTGGCACCTAGAAATATTCAAGGAATGTTCTATTCTTCTTTGGCCAATCAGAATTGACTTTCTAATCACAAGATAACGGAAAGATAACATAACACTTCTGATTGGTTAAGAAAAATTCTTGAAATATTTCTATGTGCCTATGTTTGGATAAAACCCAAAATCAGTGACAACCCTTAAATTCTCAAAAATAAAGTACCTGATAACCAAATATTCCATTTGATTGTGTCTTGTTTGACRATAGATGCAAGAGAGTGAACTAAAACATCATTACATACCAAAAGAACGACCAAAACACTTTAGTAAAGTGCTGTCACAAATCAAAGAAGGCTCAAGAATGCAGTCCAGGTAAAGACCAGGCATGACGTACCATGACGTACATGATATATACACGTACAGTATATTTATAGGAATGGGGGATGGAATTCGTCATATTATATAGTGTACACCTATTTYTAAGAAGGTTGTCATYRCAAAAGGTGATAGGYAATAAGCGATAGAGTGCTTTTAGTCTCACTGTTGAATAGTTAGATAAATGTATCTAACTTAGATAACTATTTAGTTGAYGTCACCTAAAATAGTAAAAGCGYGCCAAATAACGGTCATGCTAATCCGGKGGYTGTTTTACCAGAGAATGAGTGAATMRACATTCATTTGTATCATCGTTTCTCCCCCTGATCTYAGTAGCTGTTTACTCGTAGTTTCAAATTTAGGTGACGTCACCTAAAATWKTAAATAACTTATCTAATTTAGTTGACGTCACCTATTCAACAGTGAGACTAAAAGCACTCTAAGCGATAGGAGATACGTCATTCCAAGATCCATGAATAGCTGGAATGATTTGTGTTTCTGCTTCTTATTCTCGTCATGAACATGGAACTTGGTGTTGAGACTGATCAATTTTTTTTGTTTTATTTAAACATATTTATCGTAACATTTACCCCAAAAGCAATGTGACTTACAGGGGCTTAAGTCTATTTTACAATATAAATAATARATAGCAACAGCGGACAGTAGGAAATAAGTACAATAAATACACAATAAATACAAACTAAAATAGTACAACAGTCACATAATGAGATAACAATAGGAAAAAAACAACATCAAAGACAGATTGAAAACTATTAGTGGCTAAAATATATTTTTGAACTTCAGAAAATAGTGTATAATTACTTTTCAAGTCTAATTCTTTAAAGCCATAAAGTAAACAATGTAATTTTTGCTTTTTTGAGAACAAATGTTCTTTGTATTCAACCAAACCATTTCCATGTCGGAAGGACCTATCGTCTATCGCCTTTGATGATGACAACGTTTTTTGAAATAGATGTAGAACAGAATAAAGAGTCATGCGTCAGTATTCTTCTTGATAATCACTTTTTAATTTTCTTCACAGTAGCAGACGACGAAGTAAGACCTCAGATGTGTCATTAAGCTCTTCTGGTACTGGAGGTGTGGATGTAGCTGGTGGAAATCAAGGCATGACGACCAGAAGTGGATCTGCTGAATTGCATTCTGGAAGAAGCAACACTGCACTGTCTGCTACTGATGAGGAAAACATGGATCTGGATTCTGTAAGATACAGTATATGACATCCATCCATCCATCCATCCATCCACCCACCCACCCATCCATCCATCCACCCACCCATCCATTAGAAACTAGTATAAGAGAAAAACCCATAGAGTGTGTGACTTGATATATTTGTACCYGTCCAAACAGCTTGATGGGATCATGGGTTCTCAAGAGAAAGACACTGATGAAGTGGATGGGCAGGTTGACTCTGAGGTTAGTATTGATCACTACATCAGTACATCTGTCCTCATAACAATGTTTAGGTAGCATGCAATCATTCCTATGATAAATGACATGCCATAACATTGAAATGGCTTCCCATAAACCTCCGTTTACACTAGCAAATTTTTCGGTGATTTTTGCTGCGATTTTTTTTGCGATTTTGTCCATAATAAATATTGGTATAGAATTTACTTGTAAAGTTTTTTTCAAGATACCAAGATTTTCCTAGACGAATGTCTTTTTTGAAGGATGAGACAAAAGATTTCATATTTCCGAAAATTGCCACAAAAATTGCAGCAAAAATCRCAGCAAAAAACGCCAGTGTAAATGGGGTTTAAGAATGGTTAACGTATGAGTAGGAAACGTTTGGTACTGAGTAACAGCAGTTATGCAATTTGTTCTAATGCTGTTCTAGCATAATGTATACTCTTTTGTGTCACAGAGGATAGCTCACGCTATTGAACGCYTGAAAAGAAAGATTGCCAAGACAAAGCAACAGATACGGCAGCTACAAGAAGAGAGAGATGGTAAGAATGTCATATTTTGTTTTTGTGTCTTATGCATCTTACTGTACGTACATCCCAAGGGCCATATGATAGTATGCAGGGGCGGATCCAGGGGGAGGGGGTGCAGTGGGTGCGCACCCCCCTGGTTAGACTTTGTGCCCCTACTTCGAAGATAACCAATGCTGTTTTTTCCTTTTGATTCTAAGGGCTGCACCCCCTGAGCTACCTTTGTGCGCATCACCCCTCCCTGAACAAAATCCTGGATCCGCCACTGATATATAAGACACATACCTCCATTCAAGAATAATAATGAAAAATCATTAATGTTCTTCTAGAACTAAAAGATGATATTTCCTTCTATGATGATACATTGACATAAAATAATACGAGTTTCAGATTTAAGTAAAAATTTAAAATGATAGCAAATTCCGAATAAACCAAGTAAAAATCGTGTTTAAAATGACAAAGCATGGTAAAAAGTTCCCTTAACTGTGCAATCGATTAATTGCATGCGCGGTGCTGTGCAATTAATTAATTTCACTGATTAAGAAAAAATTCGCAGCCAATCAACCAATCAGAAATGAGTATTTATGTAGTGGTATTTATTTATTTATAATATATATATCCATAAATAAGTAGGCAACGGTATGATATATATTTGGGTACACGAAGTAAAAATAATGATTATTTATTCAGAGTATATTTTTGTCGTTCAGAATCGGTGAAAGAATATTTGGAATCAACAGAAGGAATGCAAAATCAAGCAAAGTAAGACATCTCTGTGTGTGTTTGTTGTGTTGTTATATCCCTAGAGAGTTTCTCTCTTACTCTTACTAGTTTTCCCAAAACCCAACATCATTGCAAGTTTAAGTGTTTGAGTTTTGATGAAGGATATAAACCCAAAATCTGATGATGATGATATAAAAGATCGTTTGCAAAAATACAGTGTATGAGCGCCCTGGTAGTAGTGAACAGACTGGTAGCAAAATTACATGGTAGCGAACTGGCTGTAATTCCAAAACAACTACATATTATCAACTCTTTTTCGGACCCCTCCCTCCCGCATAATTCCATTAAAAAACCCTTACAATTCATACCCATTAATAATGGAAAAAAATGATACAATTGAATTCATTTCCAGAGTGAAGATAAACTTCGAGAAAAAGAATCAAAAAACAAATGCTACTATAGCTCAGCTGCAACGAAAACTCCAAAAATACCACAAGGCCATGGTGGTGAGTACTCTAATTTCTGTTCATGTTTGATCTGATCCCAATCAACGTCCACGGGATGTTTACGGGAGCACAAAGATGCATGGGTATGAATTTTGTACTTGGATCTAGTAAGATTGCCAATAGTCTCCTTCACAGTTCCCTGCGCCATCTTGAAAGGTAGCCGTGCCTTTGTATCGAAGCGAGACGAACAGTGAGCTTGCAATGATAGAGACATGTCAATAATTGTCCAAGGTGTTAAAAAAGGTTTCTATCATTGCAAGCTCACCGTTCGTCTCGCTTTGATGCAAAGGCACAGCTACCTTTCAAGATGGAGCAGGGAACTGTGAAGGGGAATATTAATGAATAAATGATGAATAGAGCAAAGCTTTGCTAATGCATAGTCATTAAATGTATTTCTCATGGGATTTCCTCTCGTATCCTTATCCAGGACTTAGAAGAAAATGGCACATTGTCGTCAAAAGTAATGGCAAAAGAAGTCTTAAAGTATGTATGAATAACTTGTGATAGTTATACGTCTTATTTACAAATATAGGATAATAAATTATCTTATCAAACTCATGAATAATTCATGAGGAAAACACAACAGAAATCACGACCGTGAAGAGTGTTGTAAATCTGATACAAAATTGTGTTCATTTGCATAAACTTTAAGTTGCATTTTCTTGGCCAAATTCACTTTAATTTTGAAAATTTTAGTGAAACACAAAGGAACTAACCTAGACGCTTGATAAGTCATATACAGTATTGGTGTCCGTGTTGTGTCCAATATACAATCGCTCGGCTACGCCTCGTGGTTGTATATCTGATACAACACGGCCACTCATACTGTATATATTGTCTAAAAACACCACTAGTAACTTAAATAATGCTTTCTGCAATTTTTTTGAAAAACTTCTGGACATAAGGATTTCAACTTTTTCAATAGTAAACCCGAGATCACTATTTTAATAATCTAAAATTGAATTTACTGGTATGTTGCTGGCTTTCAATCAGCTGATAAAAGTCTTGGAATTCGTTCATTATCTGCTCCAAATACTGATCACCATCTGTTGTTAACCAGAGAGAATTCTATCGAAAATTTTCAGCTGATAAACATTCTACATGTGATACAGTAGGAATGTAATGACTTGGTGTGAAACCCAGCAATATCGATTGGTTCATTTGAATTCTATGGGGGAGGGGGGGGGGAATTTGGCTGCAGAAGGAAAAAGCTCCTGGGGGATGGGGATGGGGACATCGCAAGGGCGTAGCTAGGGGGCAAGGGGGCCATACTCCCCCCCCCCCCCACTTTCCCTCATGGCAACAGAATGGTGGCTTTTTGGAATCTATTGCTTTTCTAAGTTTTGCAAAATTAAAACGTAAAATCTTTTTTATGTGGTGGCAGATTTTTAAGTTTTAGCCCCCCCTTCAAAAAATCCTGGCTACACCCCTGCATTGTTGTTCAGAAATTTTACAAATCAATTCTCTAGGAGACTGAATGTCTATACTCGTCTTTTCTTCCAGGGGAGTAAAGGATAATATTCGTGGTATATCTGGGTAAGTGTACTAGTAATACAATGGTTTAGAGTGACATACCCTGGGATATCCCATGATCCACTTGTGGTATATCTGGGTAAGTGTACTAGTAATACAATGGTTTAGAGTGACATACCCTGGAATATCCCATGATCCACTTGTAGTATATCTGGGTAAGTGTACTAGTAATACAATGGTTCAAATAGAAATGAAATCATCTTCCCATTACATTACTCTACTTCAATTTCTTTCTCTCTTTTCTTCTTCCCTTTCATTCCCATTTCCCATTCCCTTTTGTTCCATCCCCTGTTGTCACAGCTTATTTATATCTGTTTGTTTTCCTCAGAGGAGTCAAGGATGGCGTCAAAGGGTAAGCCCACACATTGATATCTAATCACCTTTTTACATAGCCTGGCCACAGATGCACAGGCAGGTGTAGCCTTAACGAAAAACTGTTAAATCCTTGTTATAAGCCTTATCACCCCCCCCCCCCCCCCCACCAGTTTTAAGCCCACTCTGTGATACAGTGCATACCATATTACCGACGTATAAACTTTGTAAGAAATTGCACAAATTAGTAAGTTCAGTAGACCTCAGTAGACCGTAGACCTACAAACGTCGTACAATTTTGTTACAGATATATGGTAAGCACTCTATTTCGTGTTTATTTAACACTTATTTTCCGAAGGTGAAGTGAATATCAGTGAATAATAACCGAAACGAAGTTGAGGTCATTATTCTCGATATTTACTGAGCCTGAGGTGAATAATTATTTTAATATAAATACACAGGTGATTCTTTCAAAAAAAAAAGAAAAAAAGAAGATAAAAGACACATTTAAAATTAGGAACAGCAACAATGGCTGAACGCCATTTGGATTGTCGCTGGAGGTGATTATCGTGTGATAGTGTGAGTTACTTGACCAATCAGCGCGCAAGATTTTCAATAATCACCTGTGTATTTATACTAAATACTGTTGACAAGAAAAAGAAACTCGGCTTGACTGAGTAGGAGGAGAGAAAAAAAGGAATGTTAACAGCCTACGTGTTGATCGATACTGAGCTTTGATGGAAAAATAAAAAAAGTTGGGTGGGATAACTAAAGAAAGAAATGACCTTTTCCTCTTCATTCCAACCTTTTTCCTTTTTTTCCTCCAAGTCTCAAAAGCCTC